CCATTCAGTGATTAAGGCTAGGTAAGAAGTGAACCAAGGGATGGCCCCTTTAATTGCCCTCCCTCCCCCAAAAAATCAAACTGGAAGGGGAAGATCCTCAGAGTTTCTGGCCCAAAGAGAAACAATTACTGTATGCATTCACTCTGAGCCATCAAGGCCCAAGTAATAATTTTCAAATGGTGCTTGAGTAGGGACTTACTGTTGGCCAATCCATGAGAACCAGAGTGAATTATGTTTAAGGCATGGTCTTTAAGAAACAAATCTCTTGGGGCAGCTAGATGGCACAGTAGATAGAGCACTTGGCCCTGAAGTCAGGAGGATCTGAGTTCAAATGTGACCTCAGACCAAATGCTTGACACTTACTAGCTATGTGACCCTGGGCAAGTCACTTAACCCCAACTGCCTTAAAAAAAAAGAGGAAAAAAGAAAAGAAAAAAAAAGAAATCTCTTAACCCTGTTTGCCTCGGTTTCCTCATCTGTAAAATGAGCTAGAGAAGGAAATAACAAACCACTCCAGCATCTTTCCCAAGCCAAGTGGGGTCATGAAGAGTCAGACACAACTAAAACAACTGAACAATAACACCAAGAACATTTCCAGGATTATTATGATTATTTAACCTGTTAGCAAAGCTAATATAGGCTCATCTGATTTAGAGCTAGAAGGGAACTAAGATTTCATCAGATCCAACTCTCCGTTTTACAGACAAAGAACCTGAGACCATTAGAGGTTAAGCCAGTGTCATATAGGTGGCAAATAGTAGAACCAAAATTAGAACCCTGGAATTCAGTCCCACCTCATCAGTGCCTCCTGGCTTCCTTCAAGATTTGGCCCAAATTTCACCTTCTGTAGGAGGATTTTTCCTCTGCTACCCCAACCATCCCATTCACCATTAGTGCTTTTCTTCTGAGATTACTTTCTGGTTACTCTGTCTCTTGTATGTATGTGCATGCTGTTTGCATTTTGTTTCTTCCATTAGAATATGAACTTCTTTAGTATAGGGACAATATTTCCCCTTTGTTTTTATATATCTAGAGCTTAGGACAGTACCTGGAATGAAGTAAACACAATAAATGGTTGTTGACTTTGACTCTAAATGTAGTACTATTTCTAATGTACCATATATACTGCTTCTCTAATGTACTTTATCTTCTGTACTTAAGGGATCTGTAATTTTGTTCATGTGAGCGCTCTTTCCACTGACATAGATTGAATAACTTAGTAGATAGTTTTCTGGAATTGTTGTGACCAAAAGATATATCATCCTGGCAGAGCCAGCCTTTTGGTGAGCTTTTCTACTTACCTAGACTGATGCTTGGACAATACCAGAATTTCCAGCTTGGTAGAACCTTCCAGAACTAGTACTGCAATGGCAAAGCTTTTGAGAACTCAGTATCATCTCAACACCATGCTAAGGCATAGATCCACAACCTGCCTCCAAACTTATTTGCTTATGCTCTTTTTTAGTGTCTTTTTTGTAAAATGAGTGGAACATGGTAATGGTCTCAGGTATTCTCCAAGGACTTTGGACTTTTTACCCTAATGCACATATCTCTGCCCAGGTAAAATATTTAGTCACCTAAGCTGGGAAAATCACTGAGGATTAGGCATCTAAATTATCACAGTCTTCTTGGTTCTTTCATACATCCACCATATTCTTTAAAGTTTCAACAATAGTCTATAGCATCACAAAAAGAATATAATTGATTCACTGTACAAACATGATGAGAGATAAGATAGGACATAGAAGATAGAAGAGTAGGAGAAAAGTAGGATAAAAGTAAGGAAGTAGGAAAAAAATACATATTCCCAATTGCCCAAAGCTACAGGTGTATAAAGTGGTAGTATTCCACAGTATGTACCTCTGCAATGTGATCCTGGCAGTTTTTCATTAGAACAAGCGTGAACTCAGAATGGTATTACATGGGTTTGACTTCAACTATGTTCCCATTCCCTGTCACCCTTCCCGCCCTCCCACACACACACTTTTGCTCTAAATTCCCTCCCTTTCCTTTTAGTCATGTTTGAAATGGCCCACACAGTTGCATTTAAATCTTAGGAGATTGTTTTACAAAATAGTCCTAGTCATATTGTCTCATTTCATTATATTCGTTTCTACTTATTCTCTCATTGACACACTTAACCTGTTTTTTTTCCCCTGCTCGTTATTTCTAACCTTCCAGTCTATCTGTTCCCTCTTCCTTTGTCTCTTAAACTAGACCCACTCCAAATCTGAGCTCTTAGTTATAGGTCTAATTATTAAAGTTACTGTGTTTATTAGGGTGGAAATCCTAACCAAGTCTCAGCATGTGAGTACTTGAGTTGTGGAACAGACAGCAGTCTTCTCTGATAAAAGGGTTGTTACATAAGATGGAAACTAGTTAGAAGTCATAAAATATACCTACATGCTCTTGCTTGCATCTGGTCACAAGTATTCCTAGACTAATTTTGCATACTACTGTGAAGTAATAAGATCATTTCCTGTTGTCCTCAACATTCCCCTCTTCTTTAGATTGTTCCACTTATCTACCAGCCTATAATGAATATACACACACACACACATACACACACACACACACACACACACACACACACAAATTCAACATTCCTTTATAATCTCTAGTACTTTCCTGGTTTTCTTCCCATTCCTAGGCATTTCTGTCTGTCTGCCCTTACTTTATAGATTTCTCATGATATCTACTTGGTGTTCTTTACTTTTTGTTTTCTTCTATGGCTGCTATTTCACAGTTTTACTTTTACCATCCTTCTTTACCTCTCTGCAGTTTTTTCCCTGTTTAACTGCCTCTCCTTTAGATTCTTCTTCCCATGGCTTTTTGGGTGCTGCTGTTTCCTAGTTCTCCTCCTACCCATCTCACTGCACTTTCTCATTCTCCTTTGCAGAATCATCACCCATCTCCTCTCTCCTAATTCTGGGTTTCTCAGAAGTATTGGACTTTCCTTTCTTCTTTGTATATATCCTCTCTCTTGTGATTTCATAAACTCCCATGAGTTCAATTATCTCTGTGCAGATGACTCTCAAATCTATGTATCTAGCCCAAATCTTCCTCTTTAGCCACAGCCCACGTTGCCAACTACTACTAGCTAGCTCTACCCTCTTTTCCCATAGACATTTCAAACTCAACACATTCAAAAACAAAACTCATTTCCTCTCCTATTTTTATTGAAGGCATCATCACCGATTCAATTTCAACAAGTGTTCACTGAGTCCCTATTGAAATGCTAGGTGCTGCAATCAAAACACCAAAGGAGCTTACATTCTACTGTGAGGAAATAACACATATACGGATAAATACAAATTTTATGTAAAATAAATATAAAAATAATTTTTGGGTGGGAGAAGGACTAATAATTGAGGAAATCAGGAAAGGCAAGAATCTTTATTGCTTTTAAGGTGTAATACAACCTTTCTACCTTGACATTTAAAGACCCTCATAGACTGGTTCCAGCCTGTCTTTCCAGATTTACTTCACATTAATCCCCTTTCTATATTATGTATTCACTTTTCCCTAAACTTGGCATTGTATTTTCTTCCACAGCTTTACACAGGTTATCTCCCATGCCTAGAATGTACTTCCATCTCACCTTTATATCATAGCATGTTTGGTGTCCTTAATTTACTTAAAATAATACTTCATAATATTTATGTTCCATAATTTGTTCAGCCATTCCCCTGTTTATGGGTGCTCTTAGAGTTTCCAATTCTTTGCCACCACAAAAAGAGCTGCTATAAATGTTTTTGTAAATAGTGCCCTTTTCCTCTTTAGTCATTTGGGGGTATAAGCTCTATAGAGGTACAGCTGAGGTAAAGAGTAGTATGCACAATTTAGTGACTTTTGGAGTATACAATCTATTTTTCCAGAATGGCAATACCACTTCATAGGTCTACCAACAGTGCATTAATGTGTTTTCCCATGGCATATTCTCTCCACAATGTGTCATTTTCCTTTTATGTGTGTTTGCATGAACTCTTTCTTTGACCATTATTATAGAACTAAGACAAGGTGGACACTTCAAACAGTCCTGCAAACTATAGGTTCCTTCCTTTGTATATAGCCTCTGTCACCTCTGGGGCACAGGCTGAAAAAAGGAAGTTCAGTTTATTACTATTAGCTACATTTCCTTTCAGACCTGTTTGCCAAAAGAAGGGTAAGTATATGATGACCACAGTTACTTGGGAGCAGGATGTGGGAAGAACATCAAGCATATTAATATTTCATTCCAGTATAGCACTTTTTTAAATAGTGGAAGCCTTATTGTAAGTATGATTCTAAACACGTTGAAACTTAGTTGCTGTCTCATCTTGTTTTTGAAAGGCTTATTGTGATTTGGATGGACAAAAGCATTTAAAGGGGTTTGATACTTACAGCTAGCATTTATATTGTACTTTAAAGTTTGCAAAGCACTTTATAATTATCTTATTTGATCCTCACAATAATTCTAGGAGGTAGTTCTATTATTATCCCCATTTTACAAATGAAGAAACCAAGGCTGAAAAAGGTTAATGACAACCAGGGCCACATGCTAACAAGTGTTTGAGACAAGATTTAAACTCAGGTCCTCCTGATTCCAGGTCCAGTGTTCTATTTGCTGTACCACCTAGCTGTCATATAAACACACAAAAAAGATTTCAGTAATTTAGAGGCAGAATAGATCTTGTATTATGAATTTTTTCTGGATAGGTAGCGAACACTGCTGGTAGAAGTATATTTTGGAAAGATGGATATAGTGCTGTTTCATAAAAATGTCTTGCAGCCTTGTATGTTTCATAAACACATTTTATTTTAGAACTACTTTCTCAGCCTCAATTTGCTGTAAAATGGGAATAATAATTCCTATCTCATAGTATTGTTGTGAAGATCAAATGAGTTAATATGTAAAGCACTTTGTAAACCTTAAAGTGCAATATAAATCCTAGTTGTTATTATTATTGCTTCAAACTTGAATATTTCATCACAAATTTTCTTCTTATTATTTTTTACAGGCTAAAGAAGCCCTAGAAAATGGAGAAGTTCCTGTTGGGTGCCTCATGGTCTATAACAATGAAGTTCTGGCAAAGGGGAGGAATGAAGTTAATCAAACAAAAAATGTATGTTGCCTAAAATAAAATAAATAATATATATAGATATATAAATAAAATCTTAAGCAGACAGAGATGATGGTAGTAAAGGGAATGATGGAACATGTGGTAGTTGTGGGAGAAGGTGGGAGTATATGTAATCAATTTATTAAAAGAAAAATCTCCACATATTGGTTCTTATGCTTTAGTGACATTTTTATTTTGACAGACCTTTTTTTTTTAATGCTAAGTCCCTATTAACATGAATAGTAAATCCTATGAAGTGGTCCCATGTATTCAAATTTGCATTATTCAAAACTATAATTATATAAAAATATAGTAATGGTTCCAGCCCAATGGAAATATGCAGTACAAAATCCCACTTTATGGGATTCACATCTGACTTATTTATATCATTTACATATGAATGGCACCCTAGCTGGGTCAGAACAGGAGCTAGTCTTCTGTTCCTATTTACTGCTGTAAATTCTATGCTGCCTAGCACCCTTAGCCTCTAATCCTGGTTTCTCCATCTCAGTGTTCAGCTCTGTGGCGATGTCTGCAATGTACAATTATCAATGGCAGTAGGGAAAAGGTGAGCAGAGGGAAGGAAAACCCCCATAATCTATGACTGAACCTGCTTCTTACCAGGGTCTTTCACCTTTCTTGCTTTACTTGTGCGTAGTAGAGTGTGATCCATCTCACAATGTCTATGCTACCCCACTGTACCTGAAGCAAGCACCTTTCTTAGGTAATATCTACAGCCTCACTTCGTCTCCAAAATGTTTCTAGTTCCCTTTGTTGTTAATATTATTAAAAATCAGAAAATCTCTCATCTCTGTGCTGTAATAGGTGATAGTAGTGAAAAGGGAGCTGTCTCCATGCTTTATCCCAGCAGGAGACTTATCTCCCATAGTTCCTTTGCCTCTGATCTCTTGGCGCTCTTGTCCCTGTGTTTTACCACTCTCTCACCCCTAGCTTTTTCATGGTCAGTGTCAGGTAATTTGGGACAATTCTGAAGAAAAGTTGTGTCCTCACAGTGAAGCATCTCAAAGCATATTGTTTCAGGCATCATCAGTGGGAACTCTGAATGCTATTTTCAATCACAGTTGTATCTGAGGCAGAGGGACACCAATGCTCAGGCCTTTTCTTCAGGAATAATTGAAAGTCCTTTATTTTATTAAAAGTCTATTTCCCCTCCCCTTGTATGATCATACTTTTCCTGAATCAATTGTTCTCGACTGTAAGCCTGTATCCTTTGCCTTCTGTAATATAATACCCTTAAGTTTTCCACTCCCTTGTAGGGATGGCTGCTGATCCTGACTGTGGTGCCTTGGTACTTGAACTCTTTTCTTTCTGGCTGCTTGCAGTATTTTTTCTTCGATCTGGAAGCTCTCGATTTTGACTGTGTTGTTCCTTGGAGTTTCTTTTAGGTGACTTTTTTTTTTTGGTAATGGCTTTTAGGAAATCCAATGAATCTTACATTTTTTTCCTCCTCTTTCTGTTTTTTCAGTCAGTTGTTTTTCCTGTAGTTATATTTTCTTTTATTTTTTCAGTCTTTTTATTTTGTTTTAATATTTCTTGTTGTCCCAAGGAGTTATTGACTTCAATTTGGTTCATTCTGATTTTCAGGAAGTTTGTTGCTTGGCCAAGGTTTTAAACCTCTTATACCAATCTATTATTTCCCTTTCCAGTTCTTTCTTTGATAGCTCTCATTCCCCCTACCCCTGCCATTTTTTTCCTGTAGTGCTCTCATTTTATTTATAAAAAACTTTTTAAACTCTTTATGAAATTTCTTGCTTCATATGCTCTAGGAATTCTAATTGAATTTGTGCCCAAGCTGTGTTTTTCTTTAAGCCTTTACTTGCAGATGTCTGAGGGCCATTTTCTTCTTCTAGGTTTTTATCTTGAGCATCTCTGTTACCATGATAGGTTTTGATGGTGGGTTTGTTTTTTTTTTATTTGCTCATTCTTCCAGCCTACATTTTGACTTGGGACTTAATGTTAGTGCCAGGTTCTGGGTGCTTCTGGAGGGAAGGTCTGGACTTGTCTTGTTGCTGTTTTCTTGGTATTGTGTGTTGTTATTCCAGGTTCTCAGGTAAAGTTCATGCTAGGACCTACAAACTTTCCATGCTCCCAAATGATCTGATCCAAGGCAAAATCTGATCATTGTCCCTCTGGTCTGAGGTCTGCAAACTGACCTAGGTTTGAGTCTGAGCAACAGTAGACTACTGCTGGACTCAGCCCCTATCAGCCTATCCTGGTTATTCTTCTGCAGGCTTCAGACTAGGCTTGAAGTTGGAAACAAGACCCTGCTTAGCTCCTGGGATTCAAGCCACACTGCTCCTGCTTGCTTTGTTCCTTGCTTGATGTACAGGATAGGGCTCCTATTTCTGTTCCTGTCCTATCTTATGACTGCTCCTTCTCCCAGCACACACCTAGGTGTAGGTTCCTTCCTCAGTCTGCCCTGAATCTATGACCTAAAACTTGGTTGTGAGCAGCAAAGCTGCCAGTTGGCATATGTTTCTACTCTCAGCATGGGTCTGGTACCTCCTCTTGACCTGGTGTACACACTTTCTCTGAGTTGGAACACTCTACACTCTGACCTATTCCTGGCTAGACCCTGTCCCCAGGGTCCACAAACCTCTCTGTCAGCTTTCCTATTCTGACATAGGCTAGGAAAGTGACTCGCTGTGATTTTTAAAATTGGATTCCCTATCATGATTTGGTCTGGCGCATTTTTGTAGATATGTTTAAGGAGGTTGTTTTTTGGGGGAAAGGGAGAACTGGGAGAGAGCTCAATTATACTTCTTCAAGTAACACCAGAGCTGCTGGCCATCATTTGTCTGTAGCTTCAAATTCCGTATCACTTGTACTCCTGGACATCACAGTCTGCAGGCAGATGCCCAGTTAAAAAACAAAACAAAACAAGACAAACTACTTGAATTTGGACAACTGACAAGTCAGTCACCCAAACAAGCTCTTCTATAGATTGTAAACTTTGCAGCCACTAAACCTCAATCTGATTTGTTAGTGTTAATCCACCAGCAGCAGGCTGAGGTGCCTGTATTAGGTCCAGTTATCTGCCTTCCAAATCAGCACAACACCAAAGGGAAGAGTGGCTCTCAGATAGGCTCCTGCCCCTCTGCTTATGTCTGTATAGCCCACATTTATCACAACAACTCACTGGTAGGCCACAGGGACTTTTTCTAGACCTTTTCTAGTCTCAGCTGCCTGAGACTTTTGATGGCCATCATCATCATACTGATAGTAGCCAGCATTTATATAGTACTTGAAAGTTTGCAAAGCCCTTTACATGTTACTTCATTTGATCTTCACAAGTACATGGTGAAGAAGGTGAATTACAAATGAATAAATTGAGGCTGATAGAGGTTAAATGACTTGCCCAAGATCACGTAGCTACCAGATATCTAAAAGCAGCAGTTGAACTCAGGTCTTCCTGACTCTAAATCCCACAGTATACCCGCAGTGAGCCATCTAGCTACCCAGGTGCAATATCTTGCTGCCTGACATGGCCAGTGACATAAAATTAATACTTGGGATCCCAGTGGAGTTGGCCAACAAGTTGTTTCTTATAACATCTACCTACCATCTCTTCTGTTTCTATTCTATTTTGCCATGACCCTGCTTCTGATCCAGGGGTATGATGCCATTTTAGTCATGGTAGAAATCCTTACTTCCTTCTTTATGTTAGATTCCCACTGTGACAAAGCTTGCTTACATATTCCTGCGGGAAAATTTCTCACTGTGAGGTCTTCTTTCTCACATCATCTCTGATCAGGCTCCCCAGTTTATTTTCATGAACTTTCAAATAAAGACAACTTTTTATACATAATACTCTCAGTACAATGAACAGATAGACTCTATAAACTAAATCTTGTAGCAATACCTTTGGTGCTATACCTTCTGTCTGGGACCATCTTGATTACTGCTCTCTGTAGAACTCCTCATTCTGTATTCATCTATCTAGAATATGTCTTTGTATGTGAACTAAGATTTCTACCCTTACTTTTTTCTTCCCTTAATTTATACATAAAGCAGTCCTCTGAGACTTTATTTTGCAGAACAGATGGCAATCTGTATTGGTTGAGGGAGTCATCAGTAGTTTCATATATCAATGAAATCATAAGTCTGGTCCCCTAAAAGTCCATATACCAGAATTCTCACATTCAGTAATTATCAGGGAAAGTTGGAGTCTGACCAGGGTGACTTGTATTGCATTCTGTAAATAGGCAAAGTGTTGTGAGACAAGGCACAGACCACTATTGCATCCCACATTTCATTACCACTATTACGACACCCCTGAGATAGGGTACCATGCCTGTTTATCCTTTTGTAATATCCACATTAGCAGAATTTTCTGAAAAATTGGAAAAAAGGTCAGAAGAGCTCTTCTTCATTACTTATCCCAAGAGATGTCTTATGACCTACGAATGTGGATTCCCATCTTTACCCTTGTGTCCTACTTACCACTGATCTGATAGGCTCACTTTGAATAGACTATATGTTCTGAGTCTTCACTTTTACCACTCCTAATTTTGGATAGATAAAAAGAATACCTTATTCAGGATACTACAGAGTCTGAGATCTGGAATGAACCTCAGAAAGCAGCTATTCCAACTTATACCTGACCAAAAATCCCTTTTAAAACATCTCTAACAAATGGTCATTCTATCTTGGCTTGATGAATTCCAATGAGGATTCCACTATCTCGTGATGGAACCTATTCATTTCACTTTTGCATAGTTCCAATTTTGAGGAATTTTTCCTTCTGTGGAGCAAAAATCTTTCTTCAACTTTTGTTCATTGCTACTAGATCTTCTCTCTGCCTAGAATGCACTTCCTTGTCACCTGTAATGCCTGCCTTCCTTCATAACAGCTCAAAACTCACTTTTTACAAGAGGCCTTTCATGGGTACTCGCCTATACCCCCCCAACCAGTACCTTCCCTCTGAGATTACTTCCCATTTACACTTCATGCAATTTGTATGAACATAGTTATTTGCATGTTGTCTCCCCCATTAGAATATGAACTCCTTGAAAGCTGGAACCAAGTGTTTGCCTTTCTTTGTAATCACTTTGCTTAACAAAATATAAGTGCTTAATAAAAGCTTGTTGACTGGCAGATCACCTGTTTGGCAAAGCAAAGCAGGTCTATTTTCCCTTCCACATGGCAATTCATTAGATGTTTGAAGACAGCTTTCATGTCCCATATAAACCCTTTCTTCTCCAGACTAAATGTCCCCCCTTCCTCCAGTTTCTACAGCAGATTCTCCTTTGGCATGTTGCTTAGATCTCTAACCATTCTGCCTTCTTTTGAACACATTTCAGTGTAAAATGTAGTTCCAGGAACTGAACACAATACCCTAGATGTGGCCTAACTTCTCTGTTTGGGAAGCCATGCCTCTTGGGGTACCCTAGAATTGCATCAGCTTTTTTGGCTGTGATATCACACTGATGATTCATTTTGAGTTTGCATGTCACTAAAACTCCCAGATCATTTCCACATGAACTATTTTTTGAAGTAGATTTTTTAAACCCAATGTAAAACTCATTCTTTATCCATACTGCAGCTTATTAAATTTGGCCCATTTTTGTTTTTGCCCTATAAAGATCTTTTGAAATCTTAATTTTGTCATTTATTGTGTTAAGTATCCCAACAAGCTTTGTTCCATTTGCAAATTGCTTGATATATGCCTTCATTTAAATCTTTGACAGAGTAGTGCAGGGGATATTGGCTCTCCATTAAATTCCTCCTTCCAAGTTGACATAGACTTACTAGTCTTTGAGTCCAACAAGTTCTCATTTCTCCTAACTGTATTATCATCTAACACATATCTATCTTATCCACAAGCAGAGAGACTTTGACAGCTATTTTGGTGAAACTTAAGTACATGGCATCAGTGGCACTCCCCTGATTTAGTTTCCCTGTCAAAAATTTTTGATCTCTCTTTGCCTCAAATTCTTCATCTGTAAGTGAAAGAAATTAGACTAAATTATCACTAAGATGCTTTCCAATTATAAATTCTATTATTCTACAATTGTAAACAAAGCTTTTTTTCTTATTACATGATATAAAATGCTGCTGGCAAATACTCTAAATAATTGTTATATATAATATCTGTAATTCACATTATATCATGCTGTCACGATATTTATTATACTAAATCTTTGTTTTCATTTAGCAGATTTGTATTGTATATAAAATCTTATCCTAAATATAGGTTAAATAATGATACTCTATTAAATTAAATATAGATTTGCCTAGAGCAAGGGATCATGAAAATCTAAGAACACATTTGAAACTGGGGCATAAGCTTATGAAAATTTCAGAGCTCCCCTGAAATGTTCAGAACTGTTATTTTCAAATCTTTCTTTTGAATTGTGTCTTTTGTATGTGAGTTTAATAGATTTTTTTCCCCCTTGAGCTAAAAGAAAGGCGAAAGGCAAGGAATTATGGTCACAGAGTATGGGAATATACAACAGGAAATGATTTAATGTGTCATTTTTGTTAACTTGAATATAAATAAGTAAAATAACTTTTAGTGAGTGGAAGCATCAACTAAAAAGAAAAATATTTTTTCTATTCTCAGGCTACACGACATGCAGAGATGGTAGCAATTGATCAGGTCCTAGAGTGGTGTCATCATTGTGGTAGAACTCCTACAGAAGTATTTGAACACACCGTGTTATATGTCACTGTGGAGCCATGTATAATGTGTGCTGCTGCCCTTCGCCTGATGAGTATCCTTTGACTTTGCTAGATTATGCTTTTGTCCCTTTCATGTGACCACAAAAGCATCTGGATGTTTGCCCCTTCACTATATACAAAAATTCAAAATTAGTCATGAAACAATCTAATTACACAAGGCCACATCTTTTTACAAAAAAAATGGAGGGGTGGTTCTTATAAATAAAATTTGATTATTTGCTTATAAGTCAATTAGCTATTTAAAGAAACTAGAAGAAGAAAAACTTTACGGTTAGCCTGTGGAGAGCCAGTGCCATCTAATGGTAAATCATAAATTGAAAGTAAAGCACCAATGACATTATAATTTAAGTCAATATGAAAACATAAGATTTTAAAATAACATTTCACAAACTTATTTATTGCATATTCTTATTCAATGAACTTTCCAAAAAGTAGTGAGCATGAAAGCTGATTAGAAACTAACAATCTTTTAATTTAAAAGATTCAGAATTTCTTAGTTTTACAGATTTTTGTTTATCCATTTTGCCATACACACATAATTGCAGAATTTTATTTTAATTACCTGCACAGGTGTGTGAGAAAGACATATAGTTCCCAATTTATAAATAACAAACCTTTGTCAAGTTAGAATTATAAAATTTCATGGTAGAAGGAACCTTAAATATCACCTATTTTAAAGAGAATGCAACAGAAATGCAGGTGTTTTAAATGTTTTTTCCAAGGGTCATCAAAGCTTCTTGGAAGTAAAGCTATGACTAAAATCCAGGTTTCTTTGATGGAATGATTTAATTATATAGTAAATTGATTTAGTATATTATAAATTATCCTGGCTAGAACTTGAATTCATGTTCTTTGACTTCAAATCCTGTATTTGAACAACTAATTATCTTCATTTTTCATGCCAACTATTATTATAAACACTTTGAGGGAAAGAAATATGTTGTTACTGTCTGTGTCTCTAGCCTTTGGTCTGTGACTTCAACATTCACAGACTCTTCAAGTTGGAAGAAATCTCAGAGACCATTTAGTCTAGCACATAACTTAATGGTTTTCCCCTCTACAAGATGCCTGATGGAGTATAATCCAACCTTCATTTAATGATCTCGACTGAGGATGAACCCAGTACCTCCTGAAAGTCAACTACCTCCATTCTATTTTTGGATAGCTCTGTTATGAAAATATTCCTTAAATCAAGCTTAAATCTGTCTCTCTTCAACTTTTATACATAGTGCCTAGTTCTGTGCTCAGGGACCAAACAAGTCTACTCCTTTTTACCCCATGACACCTCTTAAAATGGTCATTTAACCAATTCAACCTACCTATTTCTTACCTACATTTCTGTATTTCCTGCCTACCAAAATAGCATGACTGACTTTGAAAAATGCCTCATTGTTATCTAGCTATACTATGACTATGGAATTCTCCTGATCTACCATTCCAGTAACTATTAAAAGAAAGAAATGAAGTTAGTGTAACGTGACCTATTTTTTTTATGAAGCTGTGCTGTCTCTTGACAATCACTTTCTTTTCTAAATGAATAAAAGCCATGCCATTAATGATGTGTTTTAGAAATTTGTCAGGAATTGGTCACATTCTTGGACTCTTCTCTCATTTTTTTCTTTTTCGAAAATCAGGTCAACTTTTGCCTTTCTACAGTCCTATGGTATCTCTCCTGTTACAAAATCTTTTTAAGATGAGTGAGTGTGGTTTAACAATCATGTCTACTAGATCTTTTAAGCATTTGGGGATGTAGTTAATCCAGGTCTGGTGACTTATACCATTCTCACTTATCTTTTGTTCTGTCTTCCGAGTCTCAAGGTCATTCATTCTTCATGATGTTTTCTGTGTTGTCTATTATCATTGTCCTGTTCTCCTAGATCAGTGGACCAATGTCTTAACTGCTCTTGTTCTTGACCCAGAAAAAAAAAGCGCCTTTCATAGCTAATTCAGTCTTGTAGCACTCCTGGCACTACCCTTATAGACTGTTCTACTTTTTTGTGTTTGTTCTCCTTTGCTTGACCTTGCTTTCATCTTCTGTATTTGTCTTTATGCATGAATTTCTTATTCACCCACATTGGCTACATTAGACTTTGCCTACTTTTCTACTTTGTTGCAATTTCTTCTGTTTGAGCCTTCAGAATTTCATTCTTAAGAGATTCTGATTGTTCTTGGGCACACTTTCCCTGTAGATTTTTAGACGGTGAGATTCTACCTCACCTTTCTTTGAACCCTTTGAAATCTGTTCTCACAAAATATAGGATACATATTAGACTACACATGACTTCTCTTCTAGTATCTGAACTCTAAGGTGGATTGCTTCTTTTTCTCTCAAAGTTCACATGGTTTCTACTTCAGCAGTTATTTTTTCTGTGATTGCTAGCATCAGGTCCAGTATAACAATGTTCTTCATTGCTTTCTCTTTTTGAAGAATAACATAAGCCCAGAATTTATTTGCTGGCCTACTTTTGGTAGAGAAATAGTTCCAGCAGATTTCCAGATAATTGAAGTCCACCATCACTAATAATTCATCACTCCATGCCAGACTTATGATCTGTTTGGTAACCTCCTCATCTATTTTTTCTTCTTTGGGTGGTCTATGATGTACTGTCATAATAATATTGCTTGCTTGGGGCAGCTAGGTGGCTCAGTGGATAGAGCACTGGCCTTTAAGTCAGGAGGACCTGAGTTCAAATCGGACCTCAAACTAAACACTTGACACTTACTAGCTGTGTGACCCTGGGCAAGTCACTTAACCCCAATTGCTTAAAAAAAAGAAACAGAGCCCTACATTAGTCATGTTGTGAAAGAAGAATCAGAACAAAAGGGAAGAAAATGAGAAAGAAAAACCAAAAACCAAAGTGCAAATATGTTTTGATCTGCATTCAGTCTCTATAATTCTTTCTCTGGATGTGGATAGCATTTTCCATCTCCCTTTTAAATTTAAAGGCCTCTTGATTTGATTTGCAAGACTCAAGGCAAATATGTATGTTGTTACACCAACAGTGCATGCTATTTCAGAGCAAGCTGATCATTCCTCTTTTTTAATGTGTGGTCCAGAATTTTAGGTCCCATTCTCAGACACCATCTTTTTAGCCGGCTGTTTACTTTGCAAAGTTACTTTTCTCTTCTGAAGTTTCTTATCTTCAAATGATAGCAGTAATGAAAACTTCACCAATTCTTCTATGGTCTTTGGTTTCTTGCCCAGGACTTTATATTCCCTAGCCATGTTTCTGAGGTTTCTTCTCATGGTCTCATTTGACCCCACATGATTTATCAGAAATTGTTATTGACCATCAGATTTCATTAATCTGGAGATATTCTCCATCACATCCTGGATATATGTTCTGGAAAGACAGAAGACATCACTGTTATTAATATCAATATGACAGATAAATGTCTCAGTACCTCTCAGCAGGGAATCACTAACCATCACTTGTTCCTCTGACTCCTATTAGATGACCCCTTTCTGGATGTCATCTGTAAGTCCATGTCCTAATTACCTAAAGTATAAAAAGCTTCCTGTATGACAGGAGCTTCCAGATAGTCAATATTCCATGTTGATGGGCACATTACAGTACAGTAAGCAGCAGGGTGATGGGTATATGTGAGAGGCTGGAGGAGGGAAGATAAAGTTTGGAATAGTTCTGTAATGACTGAGGTAGGAAATCAATTAGGGAGCAATACAAGGACTGCCTTGCGGTAGTGAAGGCCCAGTTGAAGTCAGATAACACAAAATTTTAATGTGCTTAGATATGCTATTTCAAGACATTTTAAAACTGTTCAGATCTCTTAGAACCAGAAGGCATAATGAATATAGAAAGAATTTACCAGTTACCTCCTAAAAGATCTTCAAAATGAAAACTCTGAGGAACATTATAGCCAAAATCCAGAACTCCCAGGTCAAAGAAAAAATACTGCCAGCAGTCAGAAAGAAAGAATTCAAGTATCAAAGAGCCACAGTCAGGATCACACACAGTTTAGCAACTGCTACTGTGAAGAAGCAGAGGGTTTGGAATTGATAGATGGCAAAACATAACTGACTCAGCAAAACTAAGTATAATCATGGTGGGGGGGAAAGGCGAATGTAGGGGAGACAAAGGAACTTTAATGAAATAGAGGGCTTCCAAGCTTTCTTGATGAAAAGACTAGAGTTGCATTGAACTTCTGAAGTTCCAACACAGAAGTCAAGAAGTAAACACAATCACAAAAGGATAAACTGCTTCCATTCTAATATGGGGAGATAGTAGAGGTGATAGAATGAGTCCAGTTAGACGGCCTATGAGTGGTTCTGTTATGTCTTGATAATATTAGAAGAAAGGAAGGAGAGGGGAAGAGAATAACCTAGGAGTGAAGGGAAGGGAAGGTTATCTCACATAATTGGGTTGTGCAAGTAGAAGTCTATATAAACACAGAGAAAGAGATAGGGGAAATGGCTGATTTTTGAATTTCATTCTCATATGAACTGGTCAAAGGAGAAAAGAACACAGAGGTAGGTATGGAAATACATTTCATTTAACAGGAAAATAGGAGAGAATGAGGAGAAAGAAGGAGGAATTAGAGGAAGGGTAGATTAAAAGGATTGTGCTAAGCAAAACAAATTCTAAACAACTGTGTAAAAATATTTATAACTCTTTTGGAGGTGGCAAAGAATTGGAATCTGAAGGAGTGTTCTTCAGTTGGGGAATGGCTGAACAAGTTACAAATGTGATGGAATGCTAGTGCCATAAGAAATGATGAAAGGAATAGTTTCAGACAAACCTGGAAAGATTTGTATGAGCTGTTGCATACTGAATTAAACAAGCCCAGGAGAACAATTTATATAATGGCAGCAATATTGTAAAGATTTTGAAAGGCTTAGGAACTCTGATTAACATAGTGACCAACTGTGATTCCAGAGGACCAATGTTGAAACGTTTTACCTGCCTCCTAATAAAGATGAAAGATTCAGTGTATGGAATGAGACATCTGCACACATTTCTGTACCTGTCAAAGGAAATGAAATGATTTGAGGGACCCAGAAGAGAAATGTAGGCTTCTTAATTCCTTTAGTACTTAGTTTAAACCATGTTAGTTTGTACTTGTTTGTATTTTACTAAGTGTTTTTAAGTCCTTTTTCATTTGTATACGCTCTGACTATGGAGTGCTTATGTGCAGAATGCCTTCTGTCTCCAAATTGTTGATATTGTCCTCACAGCTTATGGGTATTATATGGGTACAATTATGCCCAAGCAGCCCCACTGAACTACCATTTCCTCCATGAAGCTTTCCTTGATCCCCTTTGTTGGTAAAAACAAAACCAAAAAACTTTCCCCTAAAGAAAGCATAATGTATTGTTTTATATCTCTCTGATGCATTTATCATAAGTTGTAGTTAATCTGTGAGTCTTTTCTTCCTATTAGACTATATGCTGTATAAGGGTAGTGTCTTTTCTAAACTTTGTCTGTGTCCCAGAGAGGTCTCTGCATATAGGTAGTAAATATTGGATTTAATTCACTTAAATTGAATTGACTTACTGGAGGTGGAGACATTTTTGGCTTCATTCTGTTTAAGACCTTAATTCTTTCACACAAATCCCACTTGTTGTATATGGCTGCCAGAATGAACGATTTGGAGGTTGCGGCTCCGTTCTGGATATCGCCTCAGCAGACTTACCAAATACTGGGACACCTTTCAAGGTAAAACAAAAGAGGATAGTCTCTTCCTCTTATTTGAAGTGTTATTTTTCTTTTTTGTTTGGTGGTTGTAAATAGTTACACTCTTTGTGTTCAGTAGATTCTAAACAGCCACGAAATAACAGGAAAAGAACTTCCTGACTTTATCTGATCCAGCTCTTACCTTTGCCTCTGGACGGAACTACAGCAAAGCCATTTCTGATAAGCAGGTGTACAACTTATTCTTTACATTGAAGGAGATTTTACAACCTTCCTGGGTAATCCAACACAATTTCTATCCCTTGTGTATGTTGGAGTCATTCATTTTTGTAAAGGCCAGTGTTTACAGCATTCATATGTTAGTAAGTATTGTCAAGTCTTATAGTTATATAGTATGTAGTTCTTGACACATTAAATTCATATGACTTAATCTACATTAAAATTTGCAGTGGATATAGTATATCCTTGTTCAAATTAAACCATGTCTGTTCTATTTCTGTATACCAATGATATTTCACAGAAATCAATCACTGTTAGGTTTCATGTTTCATGGTCCTTTTCTAATTGAAGTTTCCTCCTGGCTAAACCATACCAGTTTCTTTAACTTTAAATTTTACTCCACTGTTCAGATTTCTAGTTGTTTGATCCATCTTCATGAATAAGTTAAGAAACAAAACAAAATTAGTAACAAACCTCCTTCACACTTTCCTAATTCTTACTAATCCTTCCCATATTAATCTGATGACAGTGAAGATTAGGGGCTTAATGCAGTGTCTATAGATCAAAATTTAAATTTTAATTGAAATTCTTATCTGTTAAACTACATTTCCTTTAGAACTTGGCCTGTGAGCCCATGCTAATTTCCATGACTTCATTGACAAGATTGTTTTCTTCCTCATGTTTTATAAAATGTGTTTAAACCTGGTTATGTTATTTTTAATAAAGGCCCAACTTATTATGATGGGCATTATGGTAGGTTTACTTCAAAATTCTCCAAAGTTGTACTTCTTAAAAAATATATAGTTGTGATATGAAGGATTAAACCTTGGATAAATCCTGGAGAGGAAAAGTTCTGAGATAAGAGAGTTGAATGTAGGACACAAGATAGATTACTTTTTTAAGCTGAAGCTAGCAATCAGTTGGAAGGGGGCAAAGGGCTTTCTTAATTTGTGGTTTTGCATATAAAAGAGTAGAATAGATGGTTATTTGTATAAGTCCTTCTGAAGATAAATTGTTGTAGAATGGAGAGCAAATCATGCAACTTTATTTAAACTTCATTTAAAACATTCCCAAAGGTTTGGGTTTTTTTCCATTTTTTCCCTGTTACTTCTATTTATAGTTCTCTTTAAGAACTTCTGTTATAAAATTTCCTAATACAATTCTGTACAGTTGGTTTATTGTCTCTCTCATTTATGAGAGGTCAGGCATAGTGCTCAAAGTTCCTAAAAAGACAAAGGAAGAGTTCTTAGATGTTGAATATGGGTAGAACCTCTCTTGAACATATGTATATACCTGTAATATGTGCAGATAATATGCTTGTATGATATTTGTATATTTTTAGTTTGCCTGAAAAAGAGAGTTCAGTTGTACCATATGTTTATGGCCATATTGGCTTAAAAAACAAGATTTGGAGTTCAGATATCTAAAAGATGGTTTCTGAGGTGTCCAGAAATTCTGACAACACACTCTTACCCCTGGCCTCTGCATAATAATAGACCAACAAGACACCTGGGGCATTTGGCTTTGCTCCTTATTTTCTAGATTTTTAGGCATATTCCTGGCCCATAACTATGTTATAGGTTCCAGAATAAAGAGAAATAGCCTGTCAAATTTAAAATTCATTTCATGTAAGTGACTTGTTGATCCGCCCTTTGAAAAAGAATGTGGTTAATGTTAATATTAATATCATAGAACTGGTACAATTGCCATCATTAATATTGCTTTGTGCAGAATGCATGTTTTACAACTTAATAGGGCCATCCTGCAACTATAATGGCTACATGAAGGAAGCACTTTTACACTTTAGTCATAGAAATCATTCATAACATGAACATATAATGCTTTATTCCCTTAAGACCAAGAGGGCATTCATAGTCCACCCCTCTGGGTATAGAAGGAGAAGAGACTCTCACCAGCTCCTCCCTTTATTTTCCTTTGCTATTGTCATATAGGAGAAAAGTGTGCATAAATTTCCTTGTATTCGAGAAATACCATGTATTGTAAAACTTGAGTTTGTCCCTGACCTCACCCCCAAAGCAGGCATTCTTTGAGGATGATGTGGCCTTGGGTATAGTAGTTTACTGGGTAGTGATGGCCATGTTTTGAAAGAGAAAGTTTCCTACTTTGCTTCCGAGTCTCTCCTGAATAATGGTGCTTTGAGTATAAAACATGTCTTATCAACTACTGCTCTCTTATTTATATGTTTTCATGCATATGCATGGGCATAAGAAATGACCTAGGGGAAATGGGAAAAGGAAAAGAGGGGCAGTGCCCATTATGTCTTCCAGGTTTAGCTTAACTAGAAAGGAATGTTGATTAAGTTCTATGCATCATTCAACTTTAATTTGGGAAGGAAAGAATAAAAGAGTAGTATAATGTGGGAAAAAAAAACAAGAAAGAAGGAACAAAACTAAGTTCCTCCTTCCTACCTTTTTTTTTTTAAATGGTGGCACAATTATTTTCCATGTCACCCAGGTCAAAAAATTTTAGAATCATTCTTACCTCTTTCTCTTCAATCATAGGATCATAGATTCCCTCCATCCAGTTATTTACTGAGGCCTGCTAGTTTTTTCCTCAGAAATGTCTCTCACCTATAACCTCTATTCCTACAGCTTTCCCTTTAGTTCAGGTCTTAATTAGCTCTTACTTGGATTACTTACTGGTTTCCCTAACACCAAGTTTTCACTTCAGTACGTTTTGTATAATGCTGCCGGGATGGGCTTCCTTAAAATACATTTTCATCATGTCACTTTCCTGCTCAAAAAACCCACAGTGCCTCCTTATTGCCCTGCACTTTTACATTTGAAGCCATCATTGCTCATCACAGTGAGGTGCAGATCCACTAGGCAACAGAGTGAATAATCCCACACTTGCCATTTCTACTCCCTTCTGAATAGCCCAGCTCAACCCATTAAGCCCTCTTTGGCTTTCCATATCAAATTCAAACTCCTATCTGGCATTCAATACTCTCTTTACCCTGCTATTTTATTTCCTATTGCTTTTCAGCACACCCCCTGATTTCCTCACTGCCTTCTCCCACCAAAAATAAAGCAAAAAACAAACAACAAAAAAAACCCAACCATTTTCTCTCCTTGCCTTTGCTAATGCTGTTCTCATCTGAAATAGCTTCCTATACCTTTTCAAATCATATCCATCCTTTGAGGCCCACCTCAAGTCTCATCTCTTGTATAAAGCTTTTTTCAGCTACTCCAGCCAGCATTTATTTTCCCAGACTATGAGTTCTTTCTGCACTTATAACTCTTCTGCTGAGTGCACACAATATGGGACTTAATTATTCATTGATTATTTCATATATGTTAGTGTCTTCCCAGCTAAATTGTCTGGACATGTAGTAGGCCATACATAGTTGTTAACTGATTGATATATTAAATTGAGGCAAACTTAATACCATTTTGGAAAAGAAGAAAAAAGTAAAGAAGAGTTTTGCATCATCATTTACATTTCCAGTGACCCCCAGAGTTCATTTTGCAGATGAAAAGCTGAGGTAAACAGGGTTAAGTGACTTGCCCAGGGTCACACAGCTAGTAAGTGTCTGAGGCCAGATTTAAACTGAGGAAAATGAGTCTTCCTGGCTCTGGGCCTGGCACTCTATCCACTGTGCCACCTAGTTTCCTTAAGTGTATTGTTATATTTGAAATGACTTGCAGAATTCTTTGGTATATACATTTTCTGGCCTCCAGTAAAAAATATTTTCACAATATTGCTTTCTCCCTTTTCTCATTTCAACAGTGCATTCCTGGATATCGAGCTGAGGAAGCAGTGGAAATGTTAAAGACCTTCTACAAACAAGAAAATCCAAATGGTCAGTTTTCCTGTAATGTACAGAGCATACATTGAAGCAAGTCAACATAAGAAATTCTGACATGGTATACTTATTAATTTCTCTCTTTCTTCTCTAACATTTTTGTAGCACCGAAATCAAAAGTTCGGAAAAAGGAAGGTCATAAATGTTGAACTTCATCTGATAGAAGACCAATCCTTAATAGTGATCTTGACAAAATTCTTGGAATGGAAGCATTTAACATGACTGAATTACATATCTTATGGTCCATCCATACCAGCCAACCTAATGTTTCTCACAACTCCCTGTCAATTGCAGTGGCTATCCTCCATTCCTGGAATGATCCTTCCTTACCTCTACCTCTCAGAATACTTGGTTTCTTCAAGATTCAGTTCAAGTACTATCTTCAGCAGGAGGCCTTTCCTGGTTCTCCCAGCTAGAAGTGCCTTAACATCTTAACAAAGGTTATCTTGTACTTACGTTGTATGTGTCATATTTATAAATATATACGTGCATGTTGTACATTGGAATATAAGCTTCTGGGACAGGGTACTGTTTTGTTTTTCTTTTATATCTCTAGCATTTAGCATAGTGCCTGGCACAGAGTAGTTGGTCAATAAATAATGATTTATTTTAATTAGTTAAAATGGCCTCTGGTAATATACTACTCCTAGTTTCCATTTGAGAAAGGGCATAAGAAGATTTTTCCAAACAAGGAGAGGAAATTATGTAGCTAATTTGAAGGGATTTGGCCTGATGAAGTTCAAAGGTTAAGTTTTGGGAGGAAAAACTTGAAAAAAATTGAGAAAAATTGAGAATGTAAAGAACAGTCTCCAGGCTCAGTTACTGATCCAGATTATCCTTCAGGTTTCAAGAGAAACAGAATCAAAGATAATTAAGGAGAATATAGAAGGATTAAGAAATAGAAACTGAAATAGATTTAAGAAGAATAAGGAAAAGATAATTGGCAACACAAAGTAAGGTGAGTAACAAAAAATTAGTGAAAATGTTAGTGGGTTGAAGAAATTAATAGAGTATTGAGGGGGCAAATTGGTGAAACTGACATGATATTGGGACAAGACTAAAGGGAAGGTGGATGTGGTCATGGCTATAGAGTTGTTGAAATAAAGGAAGGGACATTAAATAAGGTTGTCTGTAAAAAGTTTCAACTAGGTGCTTAAGAAACAAGGCTGAAAATCTCAACAATTAAGGAGAGTAGGGGAAATTGTGTAGTAACTTGCACTGAGTGTGAAATGTTTGTATTTCTGCCACAAATGAATGTCTTATTTGTATTGCAAGTGAGGCTGATCTACCTTAAAGAACACCTGTTTACACTCTGGGTTCTTAGGGAGAATGAAGGATTCCTAAAAGAAACAGAAGTAAAGTTTCACTGGTGAAGAAAGGGATTCCTTCTCAGGATGATAAAGAACAGAAAGTGTTACACAGAGGAGAAAGGAGATAAAAAAGGACATCTGTACAATGAGAACTTAATGTAGATTTGATGCTCTTTCTGAAGAGGAAGAAGATTCTTGTTCTTTCCAAGAGTAATAAAGTAGAGCCACAAAAGATATCGGCTATGAGATCATCTAATAAGAGGCAGAGGAAGAAGAGAAAAGTAGTGGTATCTGGTGATTTCCCTGCCCATGGTATGGGTTCATCTATTCGTTGACCTGAAAATAATGATAGTGAGATCTGTTATCTTCCTGGGGCATGTATCTAAGATATAACAGAAATTTTCCAAAACTTACAAAAATGGATAACAACTATTCTCTTCTGGTCATTCATATGGGACACTACCATATAGAATCTAAAAAGTATTACCAAGGAAAGTCTTCAGCAAGAAACTAAAGGCCTTGGGGCTTCAGGGGTGCAGAATAGAAGATTTAATCTGGGAAATGAACAGCTGGCTAAAAAAAGTATGTAAGAATAGTATTTGGTTTATGGATGATGGCTTTCAATGTGGTGTTGACAGATTTCTAATTAGAGGTAGAGTACACCTATCAAAGGGTGGTAGAATATTTTTACTAGTTGTTTTGAAAATCTAATCAAAAGTGCTTTGAACTAATGATGAGGGGGAAAGGATAAGACAACTTATGTAGCATCCCCTTATTTCGATACTATAGAGTGAAGCCACAAAAAGGGGAAAAGAATAGAAACTGAAACACCAGTATTCATAGGACACAAAATTCAAAAAAGGAGCCATTAATAAAGCCCATGGCCTCAGATGTCTGTGCACATATGCTTAAAGTGTAGGCAACAAACAAGAAGAACTAGAGGTCCTAATACAAAGGAGATGGACCAATTTAAAGTAAATATGATGGGTTAAAGGGAGTGGGGGGCAGGAAAGGGTTGCTTTGTATATAAGAACTTGTGAGGAAATCTAGGAACCACAGGAATGAGGCATGACATTATTTGAGTGAAAGTCAAAGAAGGGGGGGAGTGATTTTTGTCATTAGAGTATACTACAGACCATTTGGACAGAAGGAGGAAATAGATAAAGAGTTTGGGAAACAAATCACAAGCTTAGCATGAATGCATACCATAGTAGTGATGGAGGAATTTAAATTATTCAGACATTTGCTGGAGCATTGTGCCAAAAGCAAAGTAGTTAATAACTTCATGAATTTTCTTATTGATAATTTCATCCTTCAAAAGGTGAAATATCCAACATGGGTAAGTTCTTTTCTGTATCTGATTCTCATAGGGAAGAACTGGTTGCTGAGGTGAGAATTATGGAAACGTTGGGGATAAGTTATCACTGTTGTCATAGAATTCATGATGGAGAAAATCTAGGCACTCTACATTCTGGAAAAGCAGGTTTCAAAGGGTTCAGAGGAAAGATAGGGAGAACTTTATGGAGTAAAATGCTTTAAGGGAAGTTGTCTCAGGGAGGTTCAAAAAAACCAAACATGAAATTCTGGAGAAGAAAAGGGAAACATTACCCATGAAGAAGAAAAATGAGGTTTTTGAGATCGATATGGATGTACAGGGAACTGATAATTAGATTTAAAAAAGAAATGTTCCAAAAATGGAAGCATGACCACATAACAGAGATCAATATAAATAAGAGTATACATCCTATAAAAAGTGTCAGGAATGCTATAGGAAGCAAAAAGGATATATTTTTTTAGCTATGTTGGTGAAAAAAATAGGGTCAAAGACAGGATAGAAATCTTGCTTGGAATGAGTGAGACAATAATTGTCAATAGGGAGAAGGCATGACTGCTTAACTCTCATTTTGTTTCTATTTTCCCTACAAAGAAAATTACCTTTATACTGGAAATCACAGAAGAAAAATTACTTAGAGTTGATACCCAAGATAAATAATAAAACAGTTAAGAGAACACCTAATTGCCCTTCATGAATTCAAGTCACCTGGTGCAGATGAACTACATTCCCAAGTCCTGAAGGAACTGGCAGATGTAATTACTGAGCCACTGTTGGTGATATTTAAAAGTTTATGAAAAATGGGTATCACAAGACAGAAGAAGAGCAAATGTCCAGACTATCAAAAGAATAAAGAGAACAAAGTTTTAGAACTTTAGGCCTACGCGTTTGACCTCAATTACTGGGGAATTCTATTATATATATATGTATATATAGAGAGAGAGTATGTGTGTGTGTGTGTGTGTGTGTGTGTGTGTGTGTGTGTGTGTGTGTGTGTGTGTGTATAAATGATTGCCAAACATCTAGAAAAGGAAGTGGTGATTATAAAGAGCCAGTATGGCTTCATCAACAACAGCTTATGCCAGAATGACCCAATTTCCTTTTTTGACAGGTTTCTGAAATCAGTAGATAAGAAGAATGTTGTGGATGTAGTTTACCTATGTTATCAAAGCTTTTGATAAAGTATTTCATATGTTTCTTGTGGAGAAGATATAGATTACATAACAATACATTGAGATGGATTCATAACTGGTTGGATGAATGGACTTCAAGACTAATTGTTAAAAGTTCAATGTCACTGTTGCAGGAGGTCTCCAATGTAGTACCCCAGGTATTTGTGTCTGACTCTGTTACTTAACATTTTTATCAGTCACTTGGATAAAGGAATGAAAGATATGCTCATCAAATTTACAGATGACACAAAGCTGAGAGAGATAGCTAATACAGTGGATGATAGATTCAGGATCCAAAATGATATTGATTAGTTAGGGTGCTGGGCTGAATTCAAAAAGATGAATTTCAATAGGGACAAATGTAAAGTTTTCTGCTTAGGGTGAGAAAAAAATCAGCTTCACAAGTATAAGATGAGTGAGGCATGGTTAGACAGTAGTTGTTTGGAAAAGAATCTGGAGGTAATTGGATTGCAAGCTCAATATGAGTCAGCAGTGTGAAATGCTAATAAGATCTTGGGCTGCATTAAGAGAGTACATAGCTTCTAGTACCCCTGAAGAAGAAGGAGGAAGGAGGGGAAGTGGAGGAGGAGGAGGAGGTGGGCAATCATTCTTTTGGTTTTGTTTCCTTCTTGATTTTGATTCCTTGATTTCTCATAAAGTCATTAGCTTTCATTTGCTCAATTCTAATTATTAAGGAATTATTTTCTTCAATTAGCTTTTGTGCCTCCTTTTCCATTTGGCCAATTCTGCTTTTTAAGGAGTTCTTTTTTTCAGTGAATTTTTGTGCCTCTTTCTCCATTTTGCCCATTCTGCTTTTTAAGGCATTCTTCTCTTCATTGGCTTTTTGTACCTCTTTTACCATTTGGCCTAGTCTGTTTTTTAAGGTGTTATTTTCTTCAGTGTGTTTTTGTGTCTCCTTTACCAAGCTGTTGATTAGTTTTTCTTTTTTTTAAAAATCTTTTTATTATTTTAGACTTGAATACTAAAACTTAGATACATAATAAGAAAAGGAAAGGAAACATTATTAACTTAAATATTAAACAAATATAAAATAAGGGGAAAATCATCATATGTACAGCAGAATGTGAGAGAGGATTAAAAATATATAGCAATAAATTTCCATTTCAAGAAAGCCTGTATATTAAGTACTACATATTGTGTTAAAAGCTGTCCATCTTCTCTTTGCTTCCTTGTAGATTTTCTTCTGTTCTCTGCTGTATACTTTTTAACTTTGTTCTTTTTCTCCCCTCCCTCCCCCTTCTCCCCTCAGGCTACAGTTAAGTGTGGATATATTTATATATAGGTATATATATATATACCTATATATATATACACATATACACATACATACACATATAAACATATACTTTCCCTAACATATTGTGTTCCTAATCTTTGTTTTTATGTCTGTGCATATCTCTTATCTCCTATCCCTCCTGACTCCTCTACTTTACTTCTACTAGCTACCTTGCCCTCCTGTTACTTAATCTACCCTTCTTCAGTGATCCCTCCCTTATCCTCCCATGCCTGTAAATCTAAACATCCCTTTGACCTATTCCCTCACCTTCTCCTCTAAAGAACCCTCCCTTCTCTTCTCTCCCTATCTCCTTATTGTTTTATTTCTTTCTAAATTTAGAAGACTTTTATACTCTTCTAGATTTTATATATATATATATATATATATATATATATATATATGTATGTGTGTATG